AGCCCTCTCACGTTGCACACACCCCCGCCCCCCTTTGCTTGCGTGAAGGAATGTACCCAAGTGAATAGCGCGTAGCCAGAGAGTGTAAGGGGAGGGGGGTGCACATTTATGGGAGGGCATTAATGCGCACACCCCCACAAGCTGAGCCAATGAGCAATGTTACATGTCACACAAAGACAAATATTCCCCGTATCGCCTTCAAGAGACTGTTGGGGGTGGTTGGCAAGTGTTGTTAGCGAGCAACTACGGAGGCACCAGTGGCAGGGCACACGAGGTGGTCTTGGGTGGTGAACACCACGCCCGGGCATCTTTGTCTCCCCCAGTGCTGATGTTTATTACACACCGTGCCAGTTACGATTTGTTTTATGACTGAGTCAACCGAGGGGATGGCCAGAACCGATTCATATGTTCGTCATTGTTATTTGGTGGAGAGTGAATCGAACTCGAGTCGCCGGGTTAATAGTGCAATGGGCCAACCGCTACAACAACATCCGCCCTTTACCACGAAGTGGTGGTGACGACACCACGGCGCTTGTGCCATGCTAGGTGCATTTTAAGGCCATGCGAAGTGCCGAAGAAGGCCCGCTGGCAGGAGGTCACGGAACAGACCCAGGTGTTATTGGTGACTGAAATGACTGGTCGATGCATCAAACTACACTACCTCTCCGCACAAACACACACATACAAAGATTACCCGTGTAGCCTTAACAGACTGCTGGGGCAAGTGTTGTTCGCAGTAACACATATGAAGGCCGATGGGGGTGAGTGGCCACCACCACGCCCAGCTACCTGTGTCTCCCTCCGTGTCGATGTTTACACGCCGCACCAGGCACAGTTCTCATTTGAGGCTGAATCGACCTTGGGGAGGCCCAGGACCGGTTGAGATAATCGCCACTGATGGTGGCCACACAAATAGACACGCAAACACACACCTGTCCATTCCTGGCCACGGACAAATTGTGGTGGCGCATTCCTACCGGAGTGGCTGAGGGTAAGGGGAGGAGAACGGTTAGAGGATACAGCGCTGCGTTAGTTGCCAAGGGATTGTTGTTTTTCAATTATTTGTTTTTAGGCTTTTTTTTATCCCAACACAGATTAAGAGGTCTCAGCCACAAATAACCTAAGAGACCACTTAACCTTATCCCCCCACCCACCGCATCCGTCCCTGCCCCTCCCGCCCAGCAATCACGTGCCCATTACAAACGATCTCAAAACATCCACTCCCCTCCCTATTGGGTGTGAGTGAGAGGGAGGACCCACGCACTCAACCTTCACCCATGCAAATTCAACCCCGACGATGATAGAGCTTGGAAAGCTGAATGGAGTTCACAAACTCCTTCTCGTGAAAGACCCGACGACGCAGAAGATATATTAAACCCATGCTCCATAATACAGGTATTTTTTGGGTTAGATCGCGTAAATGACCAAAAAACATGTATTATGGATATTGGTCGCGAAAATCTACGTATTACGTTTGACTTAAAGCTTTCGTGACTGCAGGAATTAATATTCTTGGGTCTTTCGGTAAAGTAACGTAGATAGGTTCAAATAAATTTCAACCGAGAAGATGGGTACAAAGTGAGCAATCATTGGAAGGACGTTATTAACCAGTTTAGGTCATAACTGGCTGTGATGTTTCCATCCTACCTTCCGATGTTAGTAGTTATTTTCGACTCTCCGGTTTTACATTAACAGGTTAGATGTCTCACAATAACACAACCACCGTCGCTCGTGTCCTCGATGTGGCGGTGGCTCTGCGATCTTACATTGACATGCTAATCTCTCACAATACAATGGCCATCTCCACGCCTTCGTCATCGTGGAGGTTGCTCTCCGACCTTACATTTACATGCAAATTTCTCACTTTAACATCACTAGCCCCGCCCACTGCGTTTATGACCCTTGGGCTACACCCATTTCAAACCTTTGTAAGGGATCTGCGAGCCACTCTCACGCACACGCACCACGCAAACACATCTCCGCTCTCATGACAACACGCACCAATCACACGCGCGGGAATGCGCTGGACGGGGGGGGGGGTCAGGGGTTAAAGGGCAGTGACGTCACTTGGACCAGGCGTGCTAGACGTGGATGTGTATTGGGAGCGGAGGGGTTAAAAGGGGCTGTGGGACATGTGTTCGGGGTTGGTCTTGGAACGAGTGTTGCTGTGCGTTGGTAAAATTAAGAAGTGCTTAAACCATTCTACGACGCCTCTTCACCTTTAAAACAACCTGCCTCAGCAGCTTTCCCGCTTTTTTCTCCTGATGACGATTGCTTGTGTTGCGATCGAAACGTCGTAGTTTTTTCTTAATTTTGTTATTTTCTTTAAACATATCTACGTAACTTTACCGAAAGACCCAAGAATATAAACCCATGCTATTTTTATTTTACCAGGTAACGCCCATTGAGCTAGTATAGGTTTTTGTCAGAAGCGACCTTGATCACAAATGATAGCTCAACGAAGTGGCTCATCATGTGGAAATTTATAGCAGGCAAATACTCTAAACAAAGTTTTTAAATGTAGTGGGAAAAACCGGAGGACCCGGAGAAAAATCCACCTGACCACGGGCAGAAAGAACATGCGACCTCCAAATATACAGACGTCGGGGTTGGGATCGAACCCACGACCATCCTGTACACCAGGCGAGGCAGTTAACATCTCGCCACCGCGGCACCTCTCCCTGGCTTCCATCTCCCCTACTGTGCATCTTTTGGGCAGCAACCCCTAAACCGCGTTCACTGCAAAAATCATGGTAGCAGCAGATGATGCGGATACTCGACGATGATGATGCACAAATGGAGAATTTTTTAAAATCTCCGACAGTGTGCACCAACTGTGGTCACCACCCAAAACAGAACCATGGAGCTACTCCTGATACTATCACCTGGCTCAACCACCCCAGTGTAAAACAGGGTTGCGATTTCCGCATGGAAAATGCGGAAGGAGGGTTCAAATTTTCCCGCATTTTTGCTAAAGTCAACCGCAAACGGTGGAAAGACTACTCCTATGACCGCGCGCTTTTAACAACACGTTAATGCGTTCTATTGGAAAGGATACATCATGTACATGTGCTCGTAATCACGGCTCCGCATTTGAATAAAGTATGTGGTTCTTGTGCGGAAATGCGGAAATCATATATTCATTCCAATCAGTAACTCAAAGCCCTACGTGATGCTGGGCCTTGCATGTATCCTTTCCAATAGAACGCATTAACGTGTTGTTAGTCGTAACTACTGATACTATCAACTGGCTCAACCACCCCAGTGTTAAAATCACAGCTGTTGCCCTACAACATCAGCCAGAATCAGAATCGTTATTTGTCCTGGACGAATCCAATGAGATATGAAGCTCTTTCTCACAGATGTCCAATTTGTACCTAGAGAGGGGTGGTGCTCAACCAGGTGAGACCAGGATTACCTCACTTGCAAGAATGCCTTGGGTCACTCGTCTGCCAGTTAGAGGGCGATTAATACAAGGCACAATCCCAATTGAGTAATTGGCAGCGTCATTTTCGACTTTGCCAAATTTGGACCGTGACGCCGGCACATCATGGCCTACTCTCGTGAATGACGTCAGGGGATCTTTAACGTCCACGTGTGAGTGAAGCAGGAGGTGCGTAGTGTTGTTACGATTAATGCACACAGCGGTAATAATCAGGACGGTCGCTGGATTCGAACCGGGAACCTCTGCAGCGAGCGGCGATAGCGTTACTGCTGGGCGCGTCACCGCTCGTCATCCACGATTGTACGCTCAGCATGAAGGTTTTCTCAGCCGGTGGCTTGGGCCATGCAATTCTCTCACAAAACCTGTCGTTGAAACCCCTCCACCACACGATGTTGCTTCACGGCCTCTGCTGCCCACAACGTGGCCCTGCAGCAAGCCGATAGCGCCTCTTCTAATGCATGGCATTGGTGGTCACCCATCCAAGAACTGTCCAGACTCAACCCAGACTTAGCTTGGGGGACATCATTTCGCTGGGACCATTGGACATGGAATGCAATCACTAAGCTAGGCAGATGGAATGCGGCATCTGCAGCTGACTTATAAATACGTGCTGTGCTTCAGAGCCAAACTGTTGAGTGGACGACATTGGACGCTCGACACTATAATCAACCACACCTCCTCGATTCATACGCCAGCCAGCCACAATCCCAGGCCCCATCCATTAATGCCCCCCCCCCTCCCACAGTGTCCCGACAAGTGATGTGTCTCACTGACCTATATGTGCTGCAGAGGCAAACCATTACATATGTTATATAACCGTCGGTCGATTGCGAGCACGGATTGAAACAGTATTGCACACTCCATGTTGCCAATGTCGATTTGGGTTGAGAGGGGCTTGCAATGCTGTGGACTGCTCTATGAACCTGGTCAGTCCTATTATTAACCGCAAAAGTACCGCGCAAGCTACCACAAAGTATGACAAAAGGCCCCCCATTGCTCACCCTTTCCTAGCCCCCCCCCAACCTTGTCACCAGTGGGCCTGGCTCACAGCATAATCTGATTGGCTGCAGAACACGTGCCAGCCAGCAGGAGGAGGGGGCGAGGGGAAATGTAACTAGACACCTGAGGGTCCACCATCGTGCGTTTGACCTCGACCGTATGCGAGAGTTGCTATGGGCGCAGTGGCGTAGCTATCAGTGGTGCAGGCGGTGCAACTGCACCAGGACCCACGGACTGCAGGGGTCCAGGCGTCAGACTATAAAAAGATGGGGGGGATTAGACAGGGTTTAGGGTGGGGCTCCCTGTCCAGTTCATTTAATTGCATAGGGGGCCCCATTGCATTCCTGTCGCTGTCCCCAATACCAACCAGGTTGTGCCGCAGAGCACCGACGAGGGCCGTCAAGGCACGCAGAGGTCACGCGACCGGCACCATGGTCGACAAACTCACGGCGCATGTCAGCACTTGTTTGACACGCTGGCAGAAAAATGCTTTTAAGGTTCAATGCAGCAAGCTCCATGGAAGACTGGGGCCGCCTCTGTTTACTCGGGGGCGAATGTTGATGATGGATACCTTAAACCGTGGGGAAGGTCGACGTGGTAAAACACCCAGGGATCACTGTGGGTCATCATGTACAACTGAGGCTTGGGAGTGCAGGTTTTTGAGCCAGGACCAAGTGGGATTTAGCGATTGTGATGCTGCTGCGTGGCTCGCCGATGTGCTCTTTCGGGTTGTGCTGCAGCGTGCTGTTTGGCATCCGACGTTTCGCTCCACGTTCTGGTATCCTCTTTAGAAAATCCATTCGGTTCCTGAAGATGTGAAACAATGTTAATGTTATGCTAAATCAAGTAAGACACAATAAATTAAAACATTGGAAAATTCAATACACGAGGCACAGGAGTACAATTGGGGCAACCCAAACTATGAACAGTATCGTAAACTCACTTTAGTCTGTGCTCCTCCACTGGAAGGGGAACAGCAAAACTACATGAATAATCTCTGCTGAAGCCCTCTCATCATGGCCAGCAGACTTCGACACTGGCATTGAGCTCCTAAACACATTGCTGCTGCCATCATGTGCGCAAGAATAGGCTTAAAACATTCTTCTTTATGCACATTGCTACGTTCCTTTTCATGATTTCCATAAGCACTACATCGTCTTGCTCTCATTCAGCTCTTTATTTTATCGTGTTGAGCCTGCTCCACCATGAATACATACTCTAGTTTGACATACTCTGTTGTGTTTTCCACTGTGTCCCTATAAAGTATGGCTTATACAGATTGTTGAGGCAAACACTATTGGTGAGCACCTGTTCAGGCCACTATGGCACACAAAGTCGTGGTGGCCAGTCATGCATCCGTGCCGTCTTTGTATCTCCAGTGCTAATGCTTACATACCACAACATGAACTCATTTAATGCCGAGTTAATGCAGAAAATAATACTTACCACTGACGTTCGCCACGTCCTGTAATAAAAGCCAGGTCACCGGGTTCGTAGCGTGGAGCGCTAATCTAGTGAACCACTGCCCATGTAGGCAGACACATGGACACACATGGATACATGCACGGACTCTGGAAACCAACAGATCGTTGCCAATGCACTGAGATGTGTGACCCCTGCATTGAGTCACAGCGTTAATAGGACTGGCACACACAGACGCTCAGCGACGAACTGAAATCCAACCCCTCCCCAGCAGTAACAGTATAAAAAAAAACTGGCGGCCGACCGAATCCGAGTACATTTTCTGATGAGCTGCGCAGAATGACACATTCCCGTTAATTTTGGAGCACACTGCCACCCCTGTATGGTGCTGGGGCAAATGAGATGGCCAGTTATATAGAGAAATAAGTAATATTTATAAACACGCTTTTATGAAGAACTCCATGACTCCAGGAAGTGGCCCCGAAGCTTGCCATAACGTAAGGGACCGTGGCTAATTACAGCCAACGTCAGTTGAGCGTGGACAATTAGACCCAAGCCGAAACATAACATATAACAAAAATGTTTCAGAATATTGATTTTTTAATTTTTTATGATATAATATAGTACTGTCATCAGTATGACATAAGTATACCACGTTTGCAGTCGATACCACATTGGGAAGTGGGTTAAATTTTGTTACAAGATTTGAGGATACAACAACGACAACAACAACAAACAGAGCGAGTTAAAATAAAGCGTGTAATCATATTTTTTTTTAAACACGTTTGGTGGCCAATAATAGTGGCGGTCTTTGTCACGGCCAATATTTCAACCTTGTTTTCCAACACGGAGATAAGTCTACACTTTAGAAGTGATGTTAACGCAGAGACTGTTCTCCATAATATAGGTTTTTGGGTTAGATCGCGTAAATATTTATTTATTTATTCTTTATTCTTATATATAAAAGTCTTCGTGCGTTCGCGCTTGCGTGGGATTTGACTCTCGGACGGTGGGGTTTAAGACCGAAACAATTTGCCAGCCGGCACGCCCTAAGCCCCGTGGTGGGAATAGGCTATTCCGTTTTCACGTCCGTAAATTGTAAAGTCGTCAATTAAGGAATTGGTGCCATTCTTATTTTAATTATTTACTTATTGCGCGACATCGACTGTACCAACTCACGACAATTGCGGGGGGGGGGGGGGGGCGGACCCTACCAAGTGATGCGCGTTGCCTCCAACTCACAGGGACATTTTATTTTACGCGTTTAACATGGAATAGATCAGTGGCGGCTCCTGCAAAATCTCTCAGGGGGGTAAAATGTATGGATGATTGATAAGGATAAGGTCCACCCATGCAATGGATAAATTAACAGCTTAAGCATGTAAAGGCAACTTCACTTCTTTAATATTAATGAAAAATAAAGTGACTCTTACAATACATCTTGTTTGTTTCTCTACTCACTATTAATACAATCCACTCAAGTTTCTTTTATTAAAGATTCCACTAGGTGGCGACAAATTATATTGTTGGATGAAACGTGCTTACGTATGATGACGTAAGCACGTTAGGGCGAGCCCTCCCGGAAGCCATAGAGAATGCATTGCAGCGCCCCCCGTTAGAAAAAGTCTATGGGGCCACTCGGGGCGATTCTCACCCGGAGTGAAATGACGCTGATTGGTGACATGACGCTGATTGGACTATATCCAGAGGCACAGTGACGGCTAGCGTGACTCTGTGGTTGAATGACATTGGTGGTGCGTCGCCCAATCGCCCTAATGAAGAAACCGCCCCTGGAATAGATATACACATCACGCTGCCGACTTCTCTTCACTGTGTGATGTCCTCTTCCCCCCCACCACCCCAATGCGTGCAGTTACTGGTATAAAGTCCTTAGATATTAATTTAATCTTATGAAAGCGCTTACATAGTACTGTATTATTCTGCCTCGGACGGGGGGATGGTGGGGGGCGGGAGTAGCGGCCCAGCCCGCAGCCTGGCAACGTCTCACCTCCTCCGGCTTGCCAATCTAGGCGAGGCCGCGGGCTCTGCACGGGACGACGCGTCACCACGCCATTGTAAAGTACAATTTTACTGCATCTTTCGCTAAGATTTGAAGGTTTATTGTTTACTATTACTAAACAAATAAGTTTACAAATATTACAATGATAATGTTTGTGTGCATGTGAGTCGATGGGTTTCTATGTGTGTGGCTCCATGTCTGTAAGTCCATGTTTGTGTCTGTCTTTTTAAAACGGACAACGCCCCATGTGTGCGTACGTACAAGTGTTTGTGTGTGTGTGTCAGTCCATTTGTGCGCGTATCAGTCGCTGTGTGTGTTAGTCCACATGTGTGTGTAAGTCCATACCTGTGTGTTTCACTCGATGTGTGTGTGTCTAAGTGAATGCGTGTGTATGAGTCGATGTGCGTACATGGCTCCATCTGAGTGTGTAAGTCAATGTGCGTTTGTGTGTCTACGTGTGTCAGTCGATGTGTGTGGTAATCCATGTGTGTGTATCTAAAGTAGATGTCTGTGTGTCACTGTCCATATATTAATGTGTGTGTAGGGCAATGTGTGTGTCAGTCTATGTATGTGTGTGTCTTAGTCGATATGTGTGTGTGTAAGTACATGTGTGTTTACGTCAATGTGTGTGTCAGTCCTCGTATGTCTGTGTGTGAGTCCATGTGTGTGTGTGAGTCGCTGTATGTGTGTACGTCGATATATATGTGTGTGTAACTCCATGTGTGTGTATCTAAAGTGCATGTCTATGCGTGTGTGAGTCCATATGTGTGTGTGTGAGTCCATGTGTTTGTGTGTGTGAGTCGATGCGTCTGTGTGTGTCAGTCCATGGGCGTCTGTGTTAGTCACTTTGTGTGCATGGCTCCATGTCAGTCAGTGTAAGTCCATTTCTTTTCGTGTCTGTAGGTCCATGTGTGCATGTGAGTGAATGTGCTTAATTCACCTGCTCAAGGGCTATGATACCATCAGTAGGCGTGGCCTCTGGGTTGTTCTTCGTGCTTTCCGAGTCCCTGACCAGCTGCTCATGATCATCAAAGATCTTCATGATGGTGAACGGACCTGGGTAAAACTACCTGCCCAGGAGTCAGAGCCATTTCCTCATTATTTAACATTTCTTTTGACCACGTAGTTCGTGAAGCCTTCAATGGCTGTACCTGAGGAATTACCATTTGGTACAGAAACAATGGGAGGCTGATCGATGCCCGGGTGTGGTCAAGGGATGGCTACCTATTGCTCAACCATGTTAGGTATGCCGATTCTCTGGTCATTGCTGCTCACTCAGAAGAGGAGTTGGAGGCACTGCTGCTGAACTTGGAGCTTGCCACTAAGAGGTGGGACCTTACCATCAGCCCCACCAAAACTAAGCACCTGCCTGGGTATTTTGTACCATCGGACAATTGACCCCCACAACTCACAATTGCTGATGCGGCAGTTATGGAGAGATTGGAGAGATTCCCATACCTGGCCAGTGTGCTCATAACCGACTCCGTTTTAACAGCAGAAGTTTCACTCCAAATCAGTCGAGCGCCATATCTTTTCATCGGCTGCGTTACGCTGTGTGGAAGCTACCTGGTCTGTCGTTCCGCATGAAGCTCCAGGTCTTCTCGGCCACGGCCATTCCCTCCCTTCTCTACGGTTGCAAAACATGCACCCCCCTAATGCAACATCTTCATCGGTTAGAAACATTTAGGCTGGCCTGCCTACGATCCATCCTGGGTTTAACCAGGCTGCATTGTGTCAGGAGCTCACAAATCCTTGAAAGATGTGCACAAAGTCCCATCGGTGACCTCCGGCAGGCAAGGCTGCGTTGCCTGAGTCATGTAGCCCGCATGGCCTGCCACCGCATGCCTAAATAGCTTTTGTAACGCCGGATCGAGGGGGCTAAACGGGCGTGGCACAGGCTGGAGAAGACATGGAGTGATGTGCTAAAGGAGGACTTGGAGCTGAGTCCACTTGCAGATGACTGGTACCAGCCGTGTCAAGATCGGCCACTGTGGAGGAGGCTCCTGAAGGACGCTACTGGCCAGTTGGAGGCAGTCACCCTCCAACAACAATGCGATGCTCACAACAACGAGCGGAGCGCCGGGTGGCTAAAGCACAGAAAGTTGCCACAGTAGGGGCCACAGGTGGTGCATCAGCCAGTCGTCTCAGTCGACCTGTGCCATTTGGGTTTGCCTGGCACAAGCGTTGTTGTGAAGTCACCGCCACTTAGTGGCGAATGGCGGTTGTTCAGTCTATGTATGTATATGTGAGTCCATTTGTGCGTGTAACTCTATGTGTGTGTATCAATGTGTAACGGGTTCCGGAGACACTTGTAGATGTAACTTCTTTATTACAATACAACACTCCAACAGTCCTGATACTCTGT